AGTTGCTATCCTTTTGTTCTTCAGTCTAGTTGTGGAGGACGTTGCTTCACTGGCCCAAGTTGGCACCATCATTGCGCTCTTCCCGGGCAAGGCAGATTGGTCACCGGCTTCTGGACGGCCGCTATTGGTCACCGGCTTCTGGACGGCCGCTCACTGCGGCTGCTGGCCGCTCATGCTGGCTGCTGGTTACACAGGGTAGCCCATTGGCAATCCACTGCCTCAGGGGCTGCAGCCTATGCCATCGCCTGCGATTCATGGCAGCCCAGCTCCAGATTGAGCTGTTGTTCAGCATCTTAGCTGTAGAGGGAAGTGTCACTGGCCCTCATATGTGGGATCCAAACCGGGGCCCTCTGGCGTGCCAAGCCAGCTCTTAACCAACGCACCACTCAGCCGGCCCCCTCTGTGCATTTTTGTTGGAACCCTTGTGCACTGTTGGTGGGAATGTAAAGTGGTACAGCCACTGTGGAAGACAGTATGGCAGTTCCTCAGAAAATTAAACACAGAGTAACCATATAATCCAGCAATCCCCTTCTAGGTATGTACGAAAAAGAATTGAAAGCAGGAACTTGAATACACCAGTGTTTGTAGCAGCGTTATTCAGATTAGCCAAAAGATAGTAACAACCCAGATGTCCAATGACAGGGTGAATGGATAAGCCAACTGTACATACAGTAGAATATTATTTAGCCAAAAAAGGACAAAGTCTGATACATACTACAACATGGATGAACCTTGATGACTTTATGCTAAGTGAAATGAGCCAGACACAAAAAGATAAATACTGTATGATTCTATTTATATGCTTTTGACCATATATGTGGTATCTAAATAATCAGATTCATAGAGACAGAAAGTAGAATAGTGGTTACCAGGGGCTGGGAGTGAGGGGGAATGGGGAGTTAATTGTTTAATGGGTACAGAGTCTCAGTTTGGGATGATGAAAAAGTCCTGGAGATGGTGATGGTTATACACTGTGAATATACTCAATGCCACTGAATTGTAGGCTTAAAAATGGTTAAACTGGTAAATTTTATGGTATATAAAGAGGGCGCCAAAAAATATATCACATTTTAAGAAAGGAAAACTGTATTGAAATTGTAATACTCAATATATACCGATAGCAAAAGATGAATACAATCATGTTTGACTTCTGTAATTACAAGAGATGCTCGAAGTGGTTACCATCAGCGTCCAGACACTTCTGATTATGGTGAACTACTGCTTAAGCAATGTTGACCAAAGTGTCCACTTGTATATATTTTTTTGGCACCCTCTGTATATTTTACCATAATTAAAAAATTTTTCCTCCCTGCTTTTTTTATGGCATCTCAAATTTCTGAAGTTGAATAAAAGCTTTTTAAGCCTTAAGTTCCCATATTGCATATTAAGGTTTTATACACTCTATGTCCTTAACCAAATCTGAATGACTCTGACTTGAACTATTCACCTCTTTCCTCATATGTTCTTTATCTTTAGGGAGAACTAGACTTGGAAGTTTCCAGTCCCTTTCTGATGGTAGGCATTGGCCCTCTTTTCTTGATTACTGTGGGAGATGTTACCAATCTGGGGTGCAGTCTCGGGAGTCATGGAGACAAGTGGTAATTAGATGATTAGATGAAATTTCTTCTGAATCTACCATTATTATTAGAGAAATTTTCTGATACTGAGTAAGGAAGTAACGATCATTCTGAAGAAAAAGGAAAACAAAACAAAAAAGCAACAAAAATACAAAAGAAATAAAATAATAAGTAAATAAATAAAAGATCATTCTGGTTGCAGGGAGAAGGGATGACTGCTAGGGATACTGGCTTTGGGGAGGAACCAAAATCTACTTTGGGCCCTAAAGATAACCTTGGGAGCTTAGAAGTCAAAAAAATGTGAGAAGCAAGTGGTTGAGGAAAGGAATGACAAGAATATTGCGTCCTTTTGAACCAGTTACCTGTTCTTTTTCAGCTCTCTCAGACACACCTGCCAAAAGCTATGCTCCAGAGGTGGGGAGACCCAGGGGGGAGTACAGGGTGAGTTATAGATTCCTCTGCTGTGGCACTTCACACAGTTTAAAGTGTTTTGACATACATTATCTTGCTTGATCTTCCCAACTTTTTTTTTTTTAAGATTTTACTGGGGAATTGGGGGAAGGGAACAGCGTTGGGGAATCGGGGAAGGGGAACAGACAAGCTGCTGTCCTTTTGTCCTTCAGTCTAGTTGTGGAGGATGTCGCTTCACTGGCCCATGTTGGTATTATCATTGTGCTCTTCTTGGGTGAGGCAGTCGCTCACCGGCCATTGTCGCTCATGGCGGCTCACGGCAGCTAACGAAAGCTCACTCCAGCTGCCGGCCAGCTCCACTGCAGCCTACGCCGTCGCCGGCGACTCACAGCAGCCTAGCTCCAGGTTGAGCTGTTGTTCACCATCTTAGCTGTAGAGGGCGCAGCGTCACTGGCCCTCATGTGGGATCCGAACCGGGGCTCTGCTACTCAGAGCTGGCATCCCAAGCCAACTCCTAATGAATGCGCCACTCAGCTGGCCCCTCTTCCCAACTTTTTGAGCAGCTGTTATTTTAACCCCCTTTTATAGATAAGAAATCTGGATTTCTAAACATTAGGGCTTGGGCCGGCCAAGTGGCTCAGTTGGTTAAGAGCTCGCTCAAGAGTTTGAGCTCTGAGCAACAGCGGTTCGAGTCCAGCCCGAGCTGAGCAGCCGCTGAGCTGCCAACAGGTAGCAGGATGGCTCAGCTAAAAAAAAAAAAAAAAGATGTAACATTAGGGCTTGCCTGGGGTCTCATAAATAGTAAGTGGTGGAAATCGGGCTCAAAAATGTCTATTTTCTGTTTCAGTTTCCAGCTCACTATCCTTCCCCATTATGCTGTCTTTTTTTTTTTTTTTTCTTTAGCTGAGCCATCCTGCTACCTATTGGCAGCTCAGCGGCTGCTCAACTCGGGCTGGACTCGAACTGCTGTTGCTCAGAGCTCAAACTCTTGAGCGAGCTCTTAACCAACTGAGTATGCTGTCTTTTGAAAGCTGTACTTTGAAACTTTTCATCATCTCTATGACCTGGAAACTTGGTGGTGCTCATGTTCCCATGAAGCCTATAAAATAGCAAATTAATTCATAAGGAAGATACTATATTGTAAGGTCCAGAAAAGGAACATGTCTCCCTCTTTCCTTATGTTGGCAAAGCCATTAATTAATAGATCTCAAAAATGTGACTAGGGGCAGCCGAGTGGCTCAGTTGGTTAAAAGCTTGCTCAAGAGTGCGAGCTCTGAGCAACAGTGGTTCGAGTCCTGGCCCGAGCTGAGCAGCCGCTGAGCTGCCAACAGGTGGCAGGATGGCTCGGCTTAAAAAAAAAAAAAAGTGACTAATTGCATCTAGGGGTTGAAATTCTGCACCACTAGGCATAGGGTGACTGATTTTGTAAATTGGTTCATTCCCTCTTTGACCTCTTTCTGCCTGTATTGTCCGTGTGCTAGTCCTTCAGAAACTCAGAACAAGACTCTCCAAGTTCGTTTTTTTTCCGTCTATTCCCTCACAAAGTATTTCCCCATTAGGGACTAAGACTGTGAGTTTGAGGTGAGGAGCTGGCATACCGATAATTCTGACCCCTTACCTTCTGGGGACTCATGTGCTGCTAACATTCCAGGATTACAGCAATGACTGGAGCCCCAGTGACACAGTGCGACGCCTCCGGAAGGGCAAGGTAAGGCCACTGGAGAGAGAATTCTTGCGGGACTTTTTTTGGAAGCTGGTCAGCTTGTTCCCACAGGGAGGATTTCTTGACCACTCTCTTTAGTTCTATTTGTTAAATGAAGTGGTTTTCAGGAGGAAACTAAGTCCACTAAGATGGAAAGTCTGCTGCAAAACTGAGAATTCTCCAGAGTTTAGTGTAGCTTTGATAGAAAAGTGGGGGAAGAGTGATGAATGAGAAGGAAGAGTACTTTTAAAAATGAGAGCAATCTTTTATGCTTCGGTCTCTGATCCATTATAAGTTAAGTTTTACATATGGGGTGAGGTTAGAATTGGAGTTGATTTTTTTCCTTTGTAGTTCTCCATTTGTTCCAGCTCTATTTGTTGAAAAGGCTATCCTTTCTCAGTTGAATAACCTTGGTACCTTTGTAGAAATCAATTGACCATACAGGTGTAGGTCTGTTTCTGGACTCTTTATTCTAGCTGATTGATTTATTTGTCTATCCTTATGCCAGTAACACAGCCTTGATTATTGTAGGAAATCTTGAGACCAAGTAATATAAGTCCTTCATTCAACTTTATTCTTTTCTTCCAAAATCGTTTTCTAGATCCTTCATATTTCCATGTAGATTTTATTTCATTATGAGCTTGTCAGTGTCTACAAGACAGCTGCTGGGATTTTGATTTTGACATCATAATAATTAATGGGTCAATATTTAGGTCGTAAACCTAAATATAAGTAAATGCTAAAACTATAAAACTTCTAAAATAACATATAGAGGGAAATCTTTGTGACGTTAGGTTAAACAAAAATTTATTACCTAAGGACACAAAAACCGTGAAACAAAAAAGAAAATATTGATAAAGTGAACTAAATCAAAATTAAAAACTTTTGTTCTTTGAAACCACTGTTAAAAAACATGAAAAGACCACCATAGCTGAGAGAAAATATTTGCAAAATACATAGATTATAAAGGATTTTTATCCAGAATATATGAAGATTAATATATTCTTTCCCATAATAAGAATATAAACAATCCAATAAGAAAAGTGGCACAAGATTTGACCAGTGATATCACAAAAAAGGTATTTGAATGACCAATAAGCACTTGAAAAGATGCTCATTATTAGTTATCACGAAAACTGTGAGATAACCACTATACAGCCACTAGAATGGCTGAACTTACAGATGCTGACCATACCAAGCGCTGGAAGGGTGTGGAGGAACTGGAACTCCTGTACCCTGCCAGCAGGAAGGTAAAACAGTCAAACTGCTTTGGAAAATAGTCGGGCAGTTTCTTACAAAGTTAAACACACAATTTCACTCCTAGACATTTGCAATCCAAGCTAAATGAAAACATATGTCGGGCCGGCCGAGTGGCTCAGTTGGTTAAGAGCTTGCTCAAGAGTTTGAGCTCTGAGCAACAGCGGTTCGAGTCCAGCCCGAGCTGAGCAGCCGCTGAGCTGCCAACAGGTAGCAGGATGGCTCAGCTAAAAAAAAAAAGAAAAAGAAAACATATGTCCACACAAAGACTTGTACACAAATGTTCATAGCAGCTTTATTCTTAGTAGCCCGCATCTGTCAACAGATAAATGGATAATTAAATGGAGGTGTATCCATAGAGTGAAAAATTACCACAAACGGTCTTCTTTCTTGCACAGTAATTCTATTCTCGTTCTGCCAGGTCTGCTCACTAGAAAGATTCCGCTCCTTACAGGACAAGCTACAACTCCTGGAAGAAGCAGTAAGCATGCATGATGGGAACGTCATAACTGCAGTGAGTTGTGGGTTTTGTTTGTTGTTTAATTGTTGTCTTCATTAGTTTCTGAAAATCTAGTCAGAATAGACTTTAACATTTTAGGGTAAATGTAAAGTAAAGGTCCTGGATTTCCTCCTGAAGTGTAGGATTCTCAGTAATGTGTCCTCTAAGGCTCAGCTGGCAGAACACACATTGTGTGTGGAACTCTTGATTATAACCAAGAAGCAGCTGGCTGACTAAACTGTTCTAAAGAATAGTTTGGGGAGGAGAGATGTGAGAGCAGTCTCTCCCAGAGGGAGGTGTCTCTTGCCAGTATGGGTATGGGCACTGGCACGTGGACTCCCGAGACACAGCTCAGATCCAGATGTCCGTCATCTGTCCTTCCATCATATGGAGAAACCTGTCATCTGGATCTGCAAAGATTCCTCATGAGTTGCTGGCCTCATTCCTAGCATCAGGGGCTCAGGGCAGGACTTTGTGTTTGAAAGGTTGCATGGGGTAATTCATTCTTTGTTCTCTTTTCCTCTAGGTTCTGATCTTCCTGAAGAGGACACTGAGCAAAGGTGAGCATGGTTTGAGGGGAATCTTCAGTCAGTAAGATGTCTGCTACATTGGGAGAGGACAATGGCATGATGGCTTTTATACCAGAATTCACCAGCATGAAACCTGCTTCATAGACAGCTGTGCTGGCCTGAGACCTCAGAGCACACATCACATCTCTGAGGACAGCCATCATCCATTAGTGTGGTAGTTACATTGGCTACAAAGCCCCATCTCTTGGGCCAGCTGAATGGCTCCAGTTGGTTAAGTACTCACTCAGGAGTGTGAGCTCTGAGCAACAGGGTTGCCGGTTCGATTCCTGGCCCAGCTGAGCTGCCATTGGGCTGCCAACAGGTGGCAGGATGGCTCAGCTAAAAAAAAAAAAAAAACCCCATCTCTTAATTGGACACACAGATGACTGTGTTGGTTTGAGGAAGTCAGAGTTGATGTTAAGTATTGGGTCGTCGGGAAAGTCATGATGCATTTTTGCATTGAAAACATAGAAAAATACATCATGACTTTACTGATGATGCAGTATTACACCTTATATTTGGATTGATGAGAACTGAAAGCTGACTCAATGGCTAAGAGTTGCCCTGAACCATGGAATGTGTTGATGGTGGATTGAGCCATAGAGATGGGTACCATAAAAAACCATTTCTAGCTTCTGATCGACTTGGAGGAATTAATGTTTGGAATGTGTGAGTAGGGAGACCAATTTCACACTTGAGTAATAGGTTTCAATCTTTCCTCACCTAACTTCTTGTTCCTGCCTGTCAGAGATCCTCTTCCGAGAGCTGGAGGTACGACAGGTCGCCCTGAGACATCTCATTCACTTCCTTAAGGAAATAGGGGATCACAAACTGCTTTTAGACCTCTTCAGGTAAGACCTGATCACCTGGTCTATTAAGTACATTAAGTACTTTGTTCAGAGCACTCTAGGGGATACAAAGAAAGAAGACACTGTCCTTTTTTTTCTGAAAATGCTTATTAGACAACATACTGAAATGTGATGGGATCACTAGCAATACACCACAGGCTGTGGTAAGGTGACAGTGTAGCAGGTGGTTAAGAGCCAGGCTCTGGAGTCACACGCCTTGTTGCACACTGGCTCCACCACTTACTTCATAGAGTGACCAGCCCCTCCACACGTCCGCTTTCACATCTGCAAAATGAAGATGATGATACCTACCCCACAGGATCGTTAGGAAGATTAAACGAGGTAGTGTGTGTAAAGCATAATGCCTAATCTGTAGTATTAATATTTATTAAGCTTTTTTTTTTTTTATAAAAGACCGAAAATAAAAGTTCCTTTTTTACTTGGGCCCCAGTGATGTAGTGAGAAGTACAGTGGAAGAGCAGAAGCAGCAAATGCAATTTTCAGTCGGGATACCTGAGGAAAGCCTCATGGAAGCGGTTAGAAGCTGAGTTGGGCCTCTGAGACTAGGTAGGATCCTGACAGGTGCAGCAGTAAGAGGTAGGCAGGTGCTGGGGCAGGGGAGTATCTTTTATCGTGTTTTCCTTCCCTAGCTCCTTCTAATCAGTAGGGACCATTTCCCATCTTTAGATTAAAATGTGTGTATATTATAATATGTCCTTTCCTCAGTGTCAGAGAAGGGTTTGGAACCTCTGTGGAGGCTGACATGTGGCCTATGGTAACTCCAGTTACCAGTGACTCCAGCACAGGAATGAGCTGCCCCAAAGTCTAAAGTGGGGAAAGCAGGTCACTTGGTTAGGATCAAGATTACAGATGATTAGCCATGAGTTTTCAGAAGATGCGTTTATCGAGGCTGGCTGTTCCTTCCTTCCTTCCCAATCAACAAGGCTTTATGCAGCATCTCCTCTATGGCAAGCAGTGATGGTAATTACAGTGGCCCACTAAGAGTAGGAAGGGATCAGAACATAAAAGTCCTTGTTCTCCAAGGCCTTACCACCTTTTGGGAAAGACAAAACACACTTTACACTGTGCGTGAAACTAAGAGAGTATAGAAATAACAGTATAGAATACCTGTTTAAGATTATGTATTGACAGAGAAGAAGGGTGCTTTAGTCTTTCCCAGAAACCCGTAGCGTTCCTGTGGGGCTAAGGCTCTTACTGTGCAGGTTCTGAGGCTTCCTGCAGACCTGTTAGCATTAGAGGCGTCAGTGCCCCACAGTGGTTTGTTCCTGCTTTTCGCTCAGCCTGAAAGATCAGTGATAGCTGATCCACCATGTGTTATCAAAGGGTTGCTGGTGGTAGGAAGTTTAAGAGGACAAGGGCTTCCCTTGTATGTGGAGGCAAATGAGTTTGAATTGTGTTTCTCCTAGAGTAGTCATGTTATTTTGTAAGGTTATACTGCCACACATCAATAGATAAAAACGCCGTGCTCCCTTCTGCTTCTTCCCAGGTTCCTAGATAGAACAGAAGAGCTTGCGGTAAGTGTGGTCTTTGTTTCAGTTGGGGAACAGTCTACCAGAAATCTAAGCCAAAACCTGGTCTTCCAAGATCCCAGAATGACTGAACCAATTTCCTTTCATTTGGTATTGACTATATCCAGAAGAGAGGCATCTGGGAAGCCTGAAGACTTAATCCAAAGGATGTACTATTTTGTTGTTTTTTAAAAATACTCTTGATTGGGCTTATGAATAAGCATTTTGAATAAATGAGTGAAAAATGGCCTGATCAGTTTGCTTTTTAGTTTCTAGTTGTTTTCAACTACTGGTTTGTAGGAGCTTTTGGGGTTTTGGCTTCTAATACTAAAGAAAATGTTCCAAGCTAAGAGGGATAGGAAACCAGATACAGGTCAAGAATGAAGATAGGTGATACACCCAGTACACATTTTGGCTGAAAGTTCAATGACCGAGGGTTAAAATAGATTTTGGCAAACTTTCACCATCAAAGAGGGAATTCTTGGAATATGATAATAAGTCTGAAATTGTACCAAAAATTTAATTGTATTATTAAAACTAGTGATCCATTTAAAAAAATTCGACATGGTGCAGGGGTAAGAATTTTCCAGTGCTATTGATGAATGGCAGGATTGTTCCTTTAGTCACTGTACTGCACATATGTGGTGATATCAGTGCTCGCGCCCAGCTGGCACACATAATAATATTGCTGACCTTCTTTGCACAACAATATAATTCTGTAAAAGGAGCATGTACTTAATATTTAAGGCATGATAAAAATCTCAAAAATCCTTTATCTTAATCTACTGAAAATGATTGGCAGTCTGTAGTAATCATTTTGAAAAGCTTTTGTTTACATTTTTAATCTCCATAGGTTCTAAATTATAAGGAATTTTCTTCATGCAGCATTCTTATAAAGTTTTTGTTTTGAACTTTGATGAGTGAAAACAGATGTGTTTTGGATAACTCATTTTTATCCAAAAGCTTCTTATTTTTTTCATAGTCTCTATTATGTTTGAGTTGAAGATGATTTATCATGCATGTTGTTGTATATAAGTTTGGGGTTTTCCAAGCTTGTAAACTTTGGAAGTGGCAAAGCTGATAGTCTGCTTTTAGTGTATCCTCATAGAGTATGCAGATTTCCCAGGTAGGAGTTTTTCTTGAAAGACTTAAAGCCAAAAAATTTTAGATTACTTTCTTTAATAGCAATGACTCTATACCAAATATTTTACAAAGATTAGATTATGATACAGTGTAATCTCTGTTACTCTGTTTTATATTATCATTTACATTCTTACACATACCCATTGGCTCTAAAAGGAGTTACACTGTCCTTCCTAAAGCCAATTCATTCTCTTAATATTCATATTTACTGTCAATCTTTTTTATTTTTTGGAAAAATTTTAATTTATATAAAATTACAACTTTCACAACCATTATTAATTATTGCATCATTTAAACTTCAGTTCTTTTTTGTTTTGTTTTTAGCTGAGCCATCTTGCCACCTGTTGGCAGCTCAGCAGCTGCTCAGCTCGGGCCGGGACTCAAACTGCTATTGCTCAGAGCTCAAACTCTTGAGCGAGCTCTTAACCAACTGAGCCACTCAGCCGGCCCTTCAGTTAATTTTTTAGAATCAAAATAGAGCATAAGGCTTTGTTTCAGAGTTACATTTAGAACCTATAGTATTTGATGTGACTGTTTAGCTATCAACAGCGAATCAGAATGACCCGCCTTATTTGTGTTACTGACTTTGTTCAGTTAGATACTTACAGGGTCATGCCACCATAGACATGTACAAGATCAAGGATGCCAAAAATAACACAGAAGGTGGATGTGTAGCCCTTCTGCCTTTCAAAGCCTAAGGCTAAAAAAAAGCTGGTTTTGGTAAACACTGAAGCTCAAGCCAAACTCCAGGATAAAGTTAGGTGGTCCATCTACTTAGTGCTTCATTACAGGTCAGCTCTTTCCACTAGGACTTCCTGCAATGATGGGAATATTCCATATCTGTGCTGTTCCATAGGGAGCCACTAATCACACGTAGCTGTCGAGCACTTAACAAGTGACTAGAGCAACTAAGGACCTGAATTTTTTTTTTTACTTAAGTAGTTTAAATTTAAATGTAAACAACCAAATGTGGCTGGTCGATACTATAATATATGTTGCAGTTACAGATAAACCAGAGTGATTTTGATTCCCCACGCTCAATCCACACTGAGGAGGAATCTCTGATAATGAAGAATTTAGTTTTTAAAGCATGAAAAGTCTACTTATGGAATGACCTCACCCTTCTAAGGAGGCAAAATAGTTCAAAGCCTGTCTCTGTTTTTTGTAGCTGTCCCATTATCGAGAGCACTTGAACATACAGGACCCTGAGAAACGAAAAGAATTTCTTAAGACCTGCATTGGGTAAGTATAGGGGAGAAATGTTTTTGAGTATAAGTATTCTCAGGCAGAGGAATGAAGAGACCAAAAGAGGGTAGAATAGATAGATAGTTGAAGGGAAACGCTAACAGTGGGACCATACAAGTGGCCCGTACAAGTGTCATTAAAGATCGTCTCATTCAATGGTTCCAAACACTAGTCCCCAGTACAGTTTTCACTGATTGGTGGTAAATTGAGAAAAATGAAGACAAAGAGAAAAACAAAGAGTTTTTTTCCCCAAAGCTAAATTTATTTAATTGAAAGACTGCCTTTTATTCTGGGATTTTTTTTCCCATCTTCTCCCATCCTTTTTTGGTAGTAAAATGGACTGTAATTCTTTTTTATGACCTTATGTATTAAAATTAAAAGTTGGCAACACTTGACATATTATTTTCAGTGTTACTGGTCTTGAAACCCCAAAGCCCAAGAACCACTGATTGAGTACAGGCTTTCACCCAGAGTATAAGTCCCTGTAAAACCCAGCCCCACACATTATTACTCCTCCAGGGATGCACTCACTACTCTTGGAAGTAGCTCATTTTATTGTTGGACAACCTTCGTGATTGGCACGTGCTTCCTTATATTGAGTTGAATCTTGCTTCCCTGTATCTGTTAAGACAGGTACAGCGTCTACCCGATAGACCTTGCTTCTCCAGGTTCAGTGTTCAGTTATTTCAGTCATTCCTCGTGTGACATGATTTACAGGTTTCACATTTAGAAATTTGTCTATGTCAATGTCATCCTTATTATTCAGTGTTATAAAATATTGAGTTCTGTCCTATGGCCTCATAAACAAAGAGAAGTTAGGGTAGTGAAGTAACTGGAACCTCTTACTGTCTCCCTTTATCTCTTCTAAAAATTGGCTGTGGCTCACACTTACCTGGGGTAGTGTAACTGAATTTGAGAATTCTCCCTGGAGTGAGTGGAGTAGGGGAATAAAGCAACAACAGCTTCTAAGGGATAGAGCTATGAATTGGGAGTTTAAGATCTGGCTTCTATTCCTGGCCTTTTCCATTGACTTGCTATGACTTTTAGGTAAGACACTGTTTGTCCTTCAACTTCTTCGTGTGTAAAAATATAATGTAGTGTTGAACATGGGACCTTTGACATTTGTGTAGATCTTTGAGATCCTTACCAATTTACAAACGTATCACCATACCATTTAATTTTACCTTATTACTCTGCAATAAAAAATGGCTAAGAAATGTAAGTGCTCCTTGAAGAGAGTTAAGCATTAACTTTAAGAAGTGACATTGAACACAGTGCTTCACTGGGATGTAGATGGTGGGCAGTTGGCTAGGCTCACTCACTAGCTAAGTGGCTCATTCATCAAACATTCCAGCTCCCACAGTGAGGATTTTCATTCATTCCTCAACAGAATCACTAATGACTACACAGATTTTGTGGCCTTTCAGGATCCTTCTTGAATTAGCAAAACCTTAAATTCAAAACCCCAGCCAAAGGTCTACTCTATTTTCTGCTTTCTCTCTCTGCCTTTCAGCGATTCTCTAAAGGTGAATTGAGATCAGATTTGTGAGGTACCATGAGCCTCTTAGGCTTACGGTGGTAATTTGGTTTAATTGGGTTTGTTTCCTGTTGGAGCAGAGAAAGAAGTACTAACCTTCTGGCTCTCTACAGTTTGCCATTTTCAGCAGAAGATTCTACACACATACAAGACCATTACACACTCCTGGAACGTCAGATCATCATTGAGGTTAGACTCCTCGCCTCTGTTTCTGCTTCAGTACCAATGCTCAGTGCCATTCAGCATCTGGGAGACATCTGTGCTCTGCTCATATATGTCATTTTCTGTTGCAGTCTCTAAGGGCCTTTCATTTCCTCCCTCTATATGATAGCCTCCTTCCCTCCGTTGTTCTCAGGCATCATTTTTCTTCTTACCTGCTGCTAACCTGGAAGTATTTCCCCAGAACCCCCGTTTCATCGCCGGTTCTCTGGCCTTCCTCCATCCAGCTCGAATCTATAATCATTTTATGGACTTTAAACTCACCTGGGTTATTCTAGGCAATCTCTTTTTCACTTTCTTGCCTTTTGTAGGGTAGAAAACACATCTTCTGTAGTATTAAAGGTTTCTCTCCTGCTTCCTCTCCGTGGACATTGTTCTTTTTTCCACTGGCTCACCCCACCACAGGCAAATGATCGACATCTAGAATTAGCAGGACAGACTGAGATCTTCCGGAAGCACCCCAGGAAAGCTTCTATCCTCAACATGCCACTAGTGACGACGCTTTTCTACGCCTGCTTCTACCACTACACGGAGGCTGAGGTACAGGCCAAGTGTGAATGACCCCACACATTCTCACTGCACAGAGGAGCATGGTCTGAAGCCAGTATTTTGATGTACTCTGTTAATAGTGGGTGCGTATAGTTCTCAGAAATCTGCCTGGAAGCTTTCCTGGCCCACAGCAGGGGTGAGCCAAGAGGGAAAAAGGTTTGTAAAGGCTTTTGTGGCTTCCAGTGAGCTGACGTGTAGCATCGCACGTTCTGTCTCTCACCAGTGCTGGTCCCATAACAGTCTGTTCAAAGGTCCATAAATTTCAAACTGTTGGTACAGTGTAGAGAAGAGCAGCAGCGTGTCAGGTAGCTGTGGATACTTTAAACTTTTTTTTTTTGAAGAGGTTTGAATTTAATGATCATAGATGGACATTGGGATTAGCATAAAATTGGGGAAAACACCATACTTATTAATCCAGTCCTAGTAAGCTGGGTTGTGGTGATAGTCAGTTAGAGCCGATGGAGCTTTTCTCTTAAATAAATTCTGGGTTTAAATGGTTACAGAGTGAAATGTAGAAAGTCTAGGTAGTGGAAAAGGCAATGGGAGATTGGGTGGTATTTGGGAAAGTCAGTAACACTAAAATTCCTTCTCCATTTTCATTGTAGGGGACATTCAGCAGTCCAGTCAACCTGAAGAAGACGTTTAAGGTATATATAAACTGGGCAGTGTTTTGGTAAAATAGTATCAGGGTACCTACGCAAAGCGGATGTTTTTGTAACCCTGCATAGTAAGTCCTTTGATAGTCAAGGTTAAAAGTAGAAAGGAATGTGTTTGTGGGAAGTGAGATAAGACATTAACTGAATGGCCTGCAGTGCTGGGGCTGGGAAATTAAGGGGTTCTTGATGACCAAGAGATTTATGGATTTTTATGGGGAAGAATCAACACTATGGTATATTTTTGCCTCTTTTCCAGAATTCTCAAGCACCTTCCCTGGCGCATTTCTACTACCCCTTAAATTCCCCTGGTCTCTGCTTTCTAGATCCCAGACAAACAGTATGTGCTGACAGCCCTGGCTGCTCGCGCCAAGCTTCGAGCCTGGCATGATGTAGATGCCCTCTTTACCACAAAGGTGGGTGCCCTGGAACTGTGTCACACTGCTGATGTCTTTGGACACATCATCTTGTTATCCACATGTCGTGGAAGTCTCAAGTTCTAGTGGCTGGCTTACATTTTTCCTCCAACTTTTTATTTTCCAAAACATCAAACCTAAAGAAAAGTTGAATAGTGTAATGAACACTAATAATCTTTACCTACTTCACTAATTAATTAACATTTTTGCTCTATTTGCTTTCTCTTTTTCTATACATGTAGAAAAAGAGAAAGCAAATGTGCTTTCTTCTTTTGCTGAACCATTTGAAAGTAAGTTTTAGACATTCTGACACTTCTCCCTTAAATACTTAAGCATTTGTCTTTTTTGTAATCACAATATTATCATGCTCAAGAAATTTAACATTAATATAATACTGTTATATACCAGGAGTACCATTTCCGGGGGTGCCAAAAAAATGTACACATTTTAAGAGATATTATCTATGTATTACTTTTCAAAGTTGAATTGAATTACGGCAGCAATGTGTAGTATGACGTTCGCTCAAAAGATGGTGTTAATCAAATACAGTTTTTTCCTTTCTTAAAATGTGTATACATTTTTTTGGCACCCTCTGTATTTAGTCTATATTTAAAATAGCTCTTTAGTGCTGATTTTTGTTTTTGTGTTTGTTTGCTGTCAGGATCCAATCAAGGATCTTGCATTACATTTGATGGTTGGGTTTCTACTGATAGACATTTTAAATATTCATTTTTACATTATGGATTTGAGAATTTTCTGTTTTCCCTTTTTGTTAGTTATTTCATTAACTACAGTAACTGCCAAAGCAGGACATGCCTGTGTCCCAATCAAACACTGTATGAAAGTATAGAGTAAACAGTGAAGTTCCTCTTCTATTGTCCACCTGCTCCTATCTCACTCCCATCCTCGGGGCAAACACCACTAAAAGTTTGATGAGTACTTTCCAGATCTTAACTCATGAATTTACAAATCAGCATCTTTATATAAATATAAAGATGTAGAGGAATGGATTTTCCTACCCAGTTAATTTCATACTGTAAGTATTGCTAAGTAAATTACTTATTCATTTAGCTGTATTTCACAGACTTTTTTCTGAAATTGTGCTTATAAACCTAAGAACTTATTTCATACACCTGACTCTTTTCCACCCTCTCAAGTTCTTTGACTTTTCTGAAAAATTCATCTTTCTTCATTTCTCTGTCCCCTATCCCATCCATCCAATTTCACTGCCACGTTACTGTAGCCTGGCCATAAAACGTAGGGAGACTAACTCAGAGTGTGTTGAGTACCGTCTTCCTTTTTCAGAACTGGCTGGGCTACACCAAGAAGAGAGCACCCATTGGCTTCCATCGGGTTGTGGAAATTTTGCACAAGAACAGCGCCCCTGTCCAGGTAATGGCGCCTGAAGAGAGCTGGGAGACCTAACTTGTAGCCTCTTACTGGTCAGTGGTGACAGACTTAACCTGTTCTGCTCTTGCCTTAAAGGCCACATAATGGCTGTGTTGGGTCTTAAGATAGAAAAGGCCGGGGAGAGAAGCTGTCCTCTGGCCTTTAGAATTAATCTGCCCTCTCTGAGGGGCACCTGCTGTGTTTAGCCCATGTGGACTACTGTTCAAATGATAGAAAAAGAGAACTCTCTGAGAAGGGACGTCAGGGAGCAGTGGGCACAGTGTTGGATCAGCTCTAGAGCTGCCCGCTGCTGGGATAGGTGTCCAGCTCTAGGATAAGGAGGAATGTGCTTGTCCCTTCTTTCCTGGGGAGCATGGAAGTGCTGCGTGGAGTCCACATCCTTTCCCATTGCAGAACTTGTCCTATGCTGGATGATGGGAATTGTCGATGTCAGATATTGTAGACAAACTCTTTTCCTTCTTCATGATTTTATTTTTTTACCTTTCAGAGCTTTGTGTTTTCTGGGTCTGGGAATCACTAACCAGAAATAACCTCTTCCCACAGATATTACAAGAGTATGTCAATCTGGTGGAAGATGTGGACACAAAGTTGAACTTAGCCACCAAGTTCAAGTGCCATGATGTTGTCATTGATGTGAGTCCCCAAGAAATAAGAACCCTGAGTTAGACCCTCTGTCCTGCATCCTGAGGTACTTCCATCTATTCTGACTTAATGGACAAAATGGTCTGGCAAGAGTTAGCTTGGAGGCCGGCGCTCCTGTGTCATTTTCCCAGCCCTCTGACTGGTTTCTCTGTGCCTTTATAAATTCATAGAACTGAATCAAACTACATAAGCTCTGTAGACGTCACTCCAACATGAAGTTCCTTGGGGGGTTTGACCCCACTGTCATCCCTCTGTAGCCTCCCATCCTCTTGAATCTTGGCTCCAAGTGGGAGTGACAAAAAGAAAAAGACCTCCATAGAGAAGGCTGATGAGGGGTTTTATTGCCTGTTTTGGTGCACAGACTTGCCGGGACCTGAAGGATCGTCAGCAGTTGCTAGCATACAGGAGTAAGGTGGATAAAGGCTCTGCAGAGGAGGAGAAGATTGACACCATTCTCAGCAGCTCGGTGAGTAGCTCCAGCTTACCCCTCCATCCAGCCGTCTCAGGAAACAGTTCACAGAGCAGCGTCAAGTGTATATAAGGGTAATCTGGGGACCTCGGGGTGAGACTTAACTGTAGTGCTCTGATAGTTGTTAAACCAAGCAGGCAGGAGGGACTAACTACTGGCAGTCCAGAAACAAATATTAGGTTCCAAATATTCAGACTGTATAGAGTTTCCTGAGGATGGATATGACCTACCTGTTGGAAGTAAGAAGTGGGTGAAATAGATGTTAGCTATTTGGAGAACGCAGCCAGTTTGTCTCTCATAGCATGAAATTGCCGAGCTTTTTGTTAATGTGGGTCCTAGTTCCCTGCTAGATATTTTGGGACCTCCCCGGGGTCATCAGAAGCTAGTGAATCTTGGTCCTGAGGAGGGCAGGACCAGAATAAATGCCCAGACTCAGGCTTGTGAAATACGGAGTAGGTGTCTAATTCATTTCTGAGTTAATGAACTCCACTGCATATTTGAAAAACTCCCCCTCCCCCTCTGCTCTCCTCCTTTCCTTACCGTTCCTAGCCGTGGGCCTTGTTTCGCTGTATCCCCGCCACCACTCTGTAGGGATCCGTAAAAACTAGTCATTGTTGCTTCTTTACACAGCAAATTCGATGGAAGAACTAAGTGGCATTAGCTACCCTGAAACCGGCCCCGTTTCTTCCTTTCCCGCCTGTGAAAGTAGAGCGCACTCTCCAATGGGAGAGTTCTGGCATCACATCGGTTGGGCCCATCATCAGCGGGCAGCGCCTGCTACTCTTGGCACAGAAACCAGCGCCTGGGCACAGACACCTTCTCACTGATCTTCTGCCCAAGGGCCAAGATCTAAAGCTTTGACTCATGAGAAAGGCCGCTCCACCTGGTGCTCACGTGAAAGTGGGAGTCATTCCCAGATCGGACCCATACTGGACAAGATCTCTTCCGACCTGAGAAAAGCGACTGCTATGGAAAAGAAGTCTCGTAGACTAAGCTGCAGGTGTCATAGGGTGGCCACTCCATTCCTCTCAGCTGATTATGATCCTGGACTTGGTGCTGGAGTTGGCAGCTCTGCTGTGAATGAAGTCAGAACAGAACTAAAATGGCTCTCCAGGGACCTCAGGAATGGGTGCCCGTGTTGCCAGGACCTGCTGGAGGTGCCTCCCACCAGACTGCAGGAAGCCCTCCATGTTATGACAGAGATGGCCCAGACGTTGTGTTTCTTCAGCCAGCGTCCCTCTGCTGCCCAGTCTACCCTTTATTTAAAAACCTGTGGTTCCTCTCTTCACCTACAGACTGAGATGACCGTGCGTGTTGATGAGAACATCCCCGTTTTCTTTTCCTCTACTTCTCCCAGCCCAGACCCGTAACCTTATATGGAGCTGAGATTCAGCAGTGCTGGAGAGCTTTCCTGTTATACACAAATCTCATTATTTCACTAGGATTTTCCGGAAGTTTCACCAGGGCTAAACTCAGCAGCATTTTTTTTTTTTTAATTAAATGTATTGTGATGACAGCAGCATTTCTGACTTTTAGGGTATTCACATGGAGGTTTTTGTTTCAGACTTGGTTTTCAAGAGGGTATTCTGTAATGCTAGATTCCTGCCGTGTACCAGTATTAGCCTTTCTTCTCTGTGACTGAACCGGGTTTCCCCAGACATGCCTAGACCCCCAATAAAGCTGTTTCTTCCTTGGTGCCTTCTCTTTCCCTCCTGGTTGTTGTGTACAAAACAGTGAGATAATTGCCCCGTCTCTTGGGACCACAGCAGACCTGCCTCAGTGACTGCATTCTGCAGCCTGTCCCCATGCCAGGTTACAGAGTGACAGTGCCTAGAGCGAGCGGGGCTGTGTGGTTAACAGGAGCACCGAGCTGGGAGACAACACCTGGCCTCTTGTCGGAGCTCTGCCACATACAAGCTGTGTGATGCTGGCTGAGTCCCCTTCTCTCTGGACTCATTATATTAATCTAATAGGAGGGCCTGGTTCTCTGTGAGCTTGTAGAATTCTATGCTCCTGCGACTGCAGAGTGGATGAAGTGGTAGGAAGGAGAGAGGATGCTTGCACAGAGGCACGGAGCATGCTTTAAGGCATTCTGGTTCTCAGCTGGGGGCAATTTTGCCCTCCCCCCCTCCCCACT